GCTTAATCCACTTGATCCGCTTGATCCGCTTCGTCATTGGCCAATTCAGTTAAATGACCAATAGTGAGGTGGGTTAAGCGGATCAAGTGAACAACCGCTTTGCTATTGGTCAGTTTACTGAATTGACCAATGACGATTAGGACCAAACGGATTAAGCGGATCAAGTATTACGCGTGCCAAAAATGCACTTATTCTATGTGGAGTGGGAAGGCATCTCTTGAGCATCTGATAAACTGTTGTAATGGCATTTCAGTATGATTACACTCGAGAAAAGATTGGTTGGATGAAAGAATTCTGGAAGGATACCAAAGAAAATGTCAAAATACCAAAACGTAAAGCTACCCAAGACGATGTTAAGGTAAGGTTTGTCCACGCATGTTCATTGATACACTGCTAATACTTCATTAGTACTGTTTTTTTAGACGATAAATGCAGAAGTCAATGTAGCCAGTAGTGATATGCAAATTTTCAACACTGAACAGCTTGCGTTATTCGACGGAAGTAGAGCTTCTAGGTAAGGTTACTGACACATCATATTTTACGGTTTTTCGCACTATTTTTTCAGGCCAGTTTACCTTGCCATACTTGGACGAGTCTATAATGTTGATAAAGGAAAGAAACATTACGGGAAAGGTGGAGGATATCACTTCTTTGCTGGTTGGTCATTTAATCCCTTCGGTCATTGATTATTGTGGTATTTTCTTATTGTACGAATTGTTTCTATAATTTCTATTATTCTCTTTACTTTGTAAGGGCGTGATGCTACCCGCGCTTTCGTAAGTGGCGATTTCACTGAGGCCGGACTTGTGGATAACACTGATGGTCTCTCACATGAGGATCTTTTAGGTTCTATATGATTTGTGTTTGAGTTTTGCCGTTTATATGTTTTTTTTGTAGGCATTCGAGATTGGGTGTCATTTTATGAGAAAGATTACAAGTTAGTGGGCGTATTAGTTGGCAGATATTATGATTCCAATGGAATGCCGACGAAGGAGCTAAAGCATGTGCGTTCTTTTTACAGTGTTAATTGCCGGATACAGTTTTCGAAAAGTGATATTGCAGGTGTTGGCTCGCATGCAGACTGCAGCGGAGTGGAAGAAATCGAAAGCCGATGAAGCTGAAGTTTGTTTTGTTTTACGTTTTTTACAATATACATTTTGGTCTCATTCATTTCCATCAAATCCAAGTAATTGTTGTGTATTCTCCAGGTGTTTCCCCCTTGCAATAGTGAATGGCATCAGAATAGTGGTGGCCGTGTTTGGTGTTCGATGAAGAGTGGCGGAATTCAGCGAGATTGGGTGGGAGTACCTAGGTAAGGACCTGAAACGACATTGCTTTAATTTCGAATTTTGAGCTCAGAAAGACAGACCTGCCGTGCATGTTTTCTGTTTTTTTTTTGTTTCCTTCACCGTTTTGACAATTTTCCTATGATATCATGGTGTGTGGTTTTGGGTAACTAGCGTGATTCTGTTAACCGCAACTATCTGTAGTTACCACTACAAATACGCTCAACTCAGCTGCCAAGCAGTCTTTTGGCTAGCGTTGAAGAGTAATTTATAAACTGTCTAGGTTGCTGTATGACCCAAATACAAAGCAGCAGCGTTGCGCTTGTGTGAAAAACTTTGGCACTGGTTTGTCTTCCTACGGTGAAAAAGGCAACCGTGGCGACCTGGATCATCCAAATTTGAGGGTGAGTTTCTCTCTTTAATCTTTACTATTACGTCAAGTCAGTGCCTGCTAGATAATTCGCTAGTAGTATTTGATTTCGCTGTTAGTGTCGTTATCGTTTTCTTCTAAAATTTGCAGACCAACATTCCAAGAAAATTTTATAGAGTAATTACGTTTTTTT